ACAGTGATTGACATGAAGCAGCTCAGTACAGAGTACAGACGATTGGTGTATGACATCACAGTACTGATTCGAAAGCATACAGCATACAGTGATTGACATGAAGCAGCTCAATACAGAGTACAGACGTTTGGTTTACGAGGCCTAAAAAAAAATAAAATTGGTTCCGGTTGGTTGTCAGTTGAGGTCATGGGTCGGTAGGTAATTTTTTTTTTTTTTTTTTTTCAGTGGCAGCAAGGGATGGGTAGGAAATTATTCAGGGCTCGACATTAAAGGGATAGTCAAACCTAAAAATATCAAAATTGAAACTACTGTGGAAACAAAGACACCTACATCTTGGATGCCCTTGAGTTAAGCTAAAACATATCAAAAATTAATTTCAAAGTAAACTATCCCCTTAAGCCTTTTCACGTGCTTGTCCTCCGGACAAGTAAGTAAATCTGTCAATCACTTGTCCGAGTAAAAAAGTTGCTTGTCCGGATTTTTAAAATGTATTTATTTTTTATTCTGAAGCAATATTCTCATCAGTGTTCAATCAGCTTTGATATTTAAAAAGGCAAATTGTAATATATGCACCTTTAAGGGCATCCCCATCCACCAATATTATTAAATGCCCTATAGTGTCTTATTATTCTAAATAATTGAATTTATTGATCAAATTTAGGAATTTAAAATGAAAGATGAAGCATACTGTTACCCTAGGTAGGGCTGATGAAATTAAATCATTTACACTGAAAAATTACAATTTCATAAAATAATGTTATGAAATTGATTTAAATGTGCAAATAAGAAATATTGAAAAGAATTATACTAGGCTACTTATAAACATAACACTAAACTGCCAATAGGTGGCGGCAGGCGGCCGTATAAATGAGTGAGTTATTGATTCATTAATTCAAACGATTCGTTCAAACGGTTGATTCATTCAAGAATGAGACAGTTGATGTTTATGAATGGGTCATTGAATCCTTGACTCAACCGATTCGTTCAAAATGCTGAATCATTCAGTAAATGAAAACAGGATGAGTTCCTGTGAGATGCTTCGTGGTTCTGCTGTGACTTTTCTTTGGAACTATTTTCGCTGCTGAAATGGAACAAAAACACCCAATATTGCTTATAAACAGTAAGTGACTTAATCTTAACTGTTTATTGAACTGTTGTAGGAAATCAATGTCACTTTTTCAATCGTGATGGTATTCAGGAAAAATAATTGAGGCCGCTTAGTGCTTAACATATGTTAAAATATAAAAACTCCACATTTAGATTTTTTATAGGCAGAGTATGTTGTTAACTGTGTGTGTGTGTGCTCCGCTCATGTGTGTAGATTTCTCTGCGCGAGCGTCAACAGCGCAACCTTACCATCAGTAATACAGTAGGCCTGCTACATTTATTATCCACAATCGATCGCAACTTGCAATAAATGTAATAAAATCAGAATCATTCTCTCGGTTTAGTGATTCCCTAGCTATTTTTTTGTTTGTTATTGATGTTCAGGCTACTTGTCCGTTGAGGCGAGTAAAATTCTCTTTTACTTGTACTTCAAAAATCCATTTGTCCCGGAAAAGCGGTCAAGTTAGACGGGCTCTAGAGATACGAACCGCGGCAGGTTAGAGTGTTTTGGATTGCATAAAATAATGAAAGAAACGAACAAATACATGCATGGCGAAAGAAGTGCTAGACAGCAGAAGATGTGATTGGGATCATGATTGGATCATGATAGGATGATTTTTTATAAAACTATAGGCGGATGGAGGTATTAGTATGTGGTGTGTGCATGCCTATGAATGCATGTATTTGTATGTGTGCGAATATGAATAAAAATATCCTAAATTACAAAAAAAGACTTGTATAATATGTATTATAGTTCAGTTTGACGAACGATATCTGCCTCGTTTGTTAATAGATTGCTGGAGGACAAGATGCATCTTACATCGCGTGCTATAAAAAGACGGAGCTGTACAAAAACGTAAATTAATAGTTCGCCTCAGAGTTTTTTATTTGTGTATTTATTTAATTTTTATTATTTCTTCCCCAAGCTCATAAAATAATTTGGGGTCGCACATAAATTGACAGGGTCGGTCGGAAACCGGAAACAAACACATTTTTTTTTAGTGTATTTTTTTTTTTTATTTTTTTATTTTTTTAACGCCTGACATCAGTACTGATTTGAAAGAAGAAAAAAAAAGAAAAAAAATCTGTACTGATTTGAAAGCATTTTTATATTTTATTTTTTTTATTCTGAAACAATATTCTCATGAGTGATCAATCAGCTTTGATATTTAAATCACCATATTGTAATTTCTGCACCGTTAAAGGGCATCCATCCCCAATATTATTAAATGTATGCTTCATCTTTCATTTTAAATTCCTAAACTCGATCAATAAATTCAATTAATTCGAATAATAAGACACTGGCTGTTAATATAGCATAAAACACCTGCAGACAGAAACAATCTCGTTTAAATATCAGATCACACTCGAGGACACACGTTTTGCTGCAAAACCGGGAGTTTCTCATGCGCATTTTCCGTGACCACAAAGCGCACGTTAAGAACGCGAGCTTTTAGATTTTATTTATTTGCACATATAACATTTAAAATACAACTTTACAAGTCCATTAACGGAAAAAAAAAAAAACTGTGCGGGAGAAAGTGAGAAGACCATGAGGTCTTATCCCCAAAATCTCATTAAAATGGACATAAAATTACATGATCAAGCAAGACAATATAATCAATACATCAATCATGTTAATACAACAAATTAACAAAATAAACTTAATTATATGTTAACATTTTTTCAGCTCTCTTTTAAAAGTGTTTATAGTGATTTTAGTCTTTAAAATAGGGTCCAAATGATTCCAGAGGGAATTCCCTCTGTATTTCAGTGTAGATTGATTAGCTGTAGTTCTACAAAAGGCAAGATACAAATCTTTACAACGCCTAGTGGAATAGGCATGAACATCCGAAGAATACATGAAAAAATGATTGAAAGCTCTGGGCATAATATTTGTCATATTCACACATACAAATATTTATGCAATATATGTTAACATTAAATATGGTCAAGATGTTATATTTTATGGCAAATCGCGCGTCCCTTGGCTGTCGAAACGCACGCGTTTGACGAGTCAATCAGACGCCTGACCGCGCGACAACGTTGCTTCCATTATGAGAACGTACATTTGAAATGACAAACTTGAGTGCGCAAAAGAAGCGATCTGTGAACGGGCCCTATTCTTTGTCTTACCAAGTCATGGTGTTCATGTGAACAATGAGCCTCGTCTACTCTCCTTGCAAGGGTGTCGAAGTCTGGACAAAATATGTACAGTGACATGACATCACTGCCAGATTCAAACTGTGCGCTCGCTGGCGCTGAGCCAGAGATGGACGCGCTCAGCGCTTGTCATATCATATAAAGTGTTGGGCGGGCCGTATGGCCAAACTTAATTCATTATTATTATGAAAATTAAACATTTAAATTGTTTTTATTAATCTGTTTGGGCGGGACACCTGTCACTCTGGCCGCCCATAAATCCGCGCCTGTTACAGAGTACAGACGATTGGTGTATGACGTCACAGTACTGATTCGAAAGCATACAGCACACAGTGATTGACTTGAAACAGCTCTCTACAGAGTACAGACGATTGGTGTATGATGTCACAGTACTGATTCGAAAGCATACAGCATGCAGTGATTGACAAGAAGCAGCTCAGTACAGAGTACAGACGATTATGACATCACAGTACTGATTCGAAAGCATACATCATACAGTGATTGACATGAAGCAGCTCAGTACAGAGTACAGACGATTGGTGTATGACATCAGTACTGATTTGAAAGCATTTTTTTTATTTATTTTTTTTTTACTCTGAAACAATATTCTCATGAGTGATCAATCAGCTTTGATATTTAAATCACCATATTGTAATTTCTGCACCGTTAAAGGGCATCCATCCCCCAATATAATTAAATGTATGCTTCATCTTTCATTTTAAATTCCTAAATTCGATCAATAAATTCAATTATTTCGAATAATAAGACAATATATGGCTGTTAACCTAAAACACCTGCAGACAGAAACAATCTCGTTTAAATAGCAGATCACACGTCGAGGACACACGTTTTGCTGCAAACCCGGGAGTTTCTCATGCGCATTTTCCGTGACCACAAAGCACACGTTAAGAATGCGAGCTTTTAGATTTTATTTATTTGCACATATAACATTTAAAATACAACTTTACAAGTCCATTAACGGAAAAAAAAAAAAAAAACTGTGCGGCAGAAAGTGAGAAGACATGAGGTGTTATAAAACCACTTCCCCAAAATCTCACTGGCACCCCCCTTTTTGGCAATGGAGTGCAAACTGACATACCCATAATAAAATGGTTGTTGCTAATGAGTCCTTGTGACCACACACAAAACCAAGGTATCATTTAAAAGCTGACACTTGACAGTTTATTATGAAAGACTTAAAATTGTTCTGAGCAATTACTAACAGAGAGATAAATAAGCTCAAAAACAATGGACGAGAATTTTTTTTTGTATATTAATTTTTTATGAAAAAGAAAAACGCTAAAGGCAAATATATATGGGCCTGGAAACACAGGCAAACTAAAGCCATAGGTCTTAACAATGTATGTTTCAAATTTGAAGTTTATACAAGCAAAAATGAATTTTTTACAAAGATTTATTTCAGCGCATGTCTAGGCACCTACCCAAAAAGGCCACTTGGAGTCTCCAAAGGGACACTTGGTAACCACCTTTTACCATGAGCTATAACAAGTTTGTTTGATCATTTCAATGTGTTTTTTTTATTACAATATGACAAAGCACAATATATATACTTTCTCTGGTATATTTTTTACCTCCTAAATGTTTATAAAAATGTGTGTGTTTGCATTTTTGGAAAGGGCCCCAAAGTGACACTTGGCAACTTACTTGTAAAAAGTTTAACAAAGTCTTTGTTCACTACCATTCATTTAATGGTTAAGAACGACACATTATTTAGCAAATAAAAAGTTTTTATTTATATATTTGTATACATCTACAAACAAAAGTTTCTCTTTGTTATTAGCAATCAAGACAGTAATAAACATTTCTCAAAAAGTGAGCAGAAAAAGTTGATGTGCACAGGACTGTGACACTCACAAGATCGACGAGGAGGAGGGTCAGGCACCTTGCTTTTGTTGGGATGTCCAGCCAGCTCCAAAATCAGTCTCCCAGAATGCCTTTTGAGACATTGGCTTCTGGTTTTTAGCCTTTGCCAAATCCTGTTGCAGAATATTGGTGCTGAAGTGCCATCACTGTTGAACAACAAACAGGAAAAGAAATTTAGATTTCTTAACATTTTTATAAATACACATTTATTTTCAAATGACCATTCACATACAGCAATCTACCTCTACACCCACAATTGTTGCCCTGATTGCTATATTTGCACTACCGGCTTTGAATGTAAAATCTGTGAGGATCATTCACATACAGCATTCACCTCCATAGCCACTCTATTGTTGCACTGATGGCACATTTACACTACAGATTTTATATTCAAATTATCATTCACATAGAGCAATTCAACTCTATAGCCACTCTTTTGTTGCCCTGATTGCACATTTACACCAGCTTATAGTGCAGACTGTAATCAGACAACAATGCCCTAAAATACTATTTTTTCCTCACTAAACATTACTTGCTTCACATTATTTACTTACCACAAAGTGCTGGGCTGTCTATTTCCTCTTGAACTCCCAGAGACAGCTGTAGATGTTGCAGCAACACATGGACACTTTGTTTGTCTGTTGTCCAGAGAGGCCTCTGTCTGGTACTCTCATCATCATCATCATCGTCACTGTTGAATTACACAACATGGATAGAAACACGCCTAACACAACTGATTATCTTACATATAAATTACATTTTGTTCTCTGAAAAGTTTTGTTTGAACTTCGTCTTGCGTTCTACATACAAAACAATAGCAGCTAGCCTATAGCTAAAGTTACATAAATAATGTTCAATGTTGTAACGTTACACTTCTAATTCAGCGCTTGAATAACAATGGAATTGCACTGCATTTCAATGTACTTATAAGCCCCAATACTAGTGCAGAAAATAAAAACTAAAAAGCAATGTAACAAACTCACTAAAATGTTTAGAAACTTACCGATCTAAAACTGGATCGAGACCTGCCCAAAACATATCCTCTTCTTCAGAGACGGCGCTGGATACAGAACTCTCTTCTGAAAAATACACGTTTTCTTCATCCCAGCTTTGCAGAAGTTATTCCATTGCAGCAGTAGGAGAAATAACTTCTGTCCCCGACGTGAACCCATTGCAGCAGGCGAATGTAAACAGAGCGAGTGAACGCCAGCCAGCAGGTGTAGCATAGAGCAGAGCCTGGGTGTCATGACAACCTCGTCACGTGTGCGTAAATTTCCATGAAGCAAATGGTTGCGCGCACAAAGGAACACTGTTATAAACGCGAGATTATGTAAATCCGCACATGGGCGTATTTGTTATGCCATAGGCTTCAGATGGGTGGCAACAGAAAAGTTTCCCATTGCTATTGGTTTATTTTTTTACCACACATATTAGCATTATACATGATCACACGTCAGCAAAAGCGCCTGACATCCTTCAATACTTTCTATAATTACATGGCCAGTTTTCATCGGACATCTTCTGGACCGATCTCATTCATTTCCAGACACTCTACTAAAAACACTGATATGTTGTTTTCGTTGAATAATGTGCTAGATGTGGAGAGTTCGTCGAATAAACAGGACAACGCCCCATGTGATTAGCAAATGTCAGGATGTAAACAATAGAAGTAATATGGATATTTTTAACAGTTTGCATGTTTTTAGACAATTTTTTTCCCATGGACATCATATACTGGACTCTTCACGTGGTAAAAAGACCGATGTCATCATTATTGTGCCAAGCATTACATTTACACAACATAAAAAGGTAAGCCCCCCCCACCCCCTTCATAGTTGTATCACGTTGTTAAAGTTGATACAGAATAACAAAAAACGGCAGCAAAGTTTTCTTGATTGTATAATGCTTATATCGAAACGAATATACAATGTCGTAGCTTTACAACAATGTATTGGTTAACCTTATAACTTGACAAATAGATATTGTAAACACGCGATCAATGTAAACAATACAAGTTGGGATCACTGGTGATCCCATGCCAGGCAAGGGGTTAAAATGGACATAAAATTACATGATCAAGCAAGACAATATAATCAATACATCAATCATGTTAATACAATAAATTAACAAAATAAACTTAATTATATGTTAACATTTTTTTCAGCTCTCTTTTAAAAGTGTTTATAGTGATTGTAGTCTTTAAAACAGGGTCCAAATGATTCCAGAGGGAATTCCCTCTGTATTTCAGTGTAGATTGATTAGCTGTAGTTCTACAAAAGGCAAGATACAAATCTTTACAACGCCTAGTGGAATAGGCATGAACATCCGAAAAATACATGAAAAAATGATTGAAAGCTCTGGGCATAATATTTGTCATATTCACACATACTTATACATAAAAATATTTATGCAATATATGTTAACATTAAATATGGTCAAGATGTTATATTTTATAAATGTCGTCAAGATATTATATTTTATGGCAAATCGCGCGTCCCTTGACTGTCGAAACGCACGCGTTTGACAAGTCAATCAGACGCCAGACCGCGCGACAACGTTGCTTCCATTATGAACGTACATTTGAAATTACAAAATTGAGTGCGCAATCTGTGAACGGGCCCTATTCTTTGTCTTACCAATGTGAACAATGAGCCTCGTCTACTCTCCTTGCAAGGGTGTCGAAGTCTGGACAAAATATGTACAGTGACATGACATCACTGCCAGATTCAAACTGTGCGCTCGCTGGCGCTGAGCCAGAGATGGACGCGCTCAGCGCTTGTCATATCATATAAAGTGTTGGGGGGGCGTAAGGCCAAACTTAATTCATTATTATTATGAAAATTAAAAATTTAAATTGTTTTTAATAATCTGTTTGGGTGGGCCACCTGTCAATCTGGCCGCCCATAAATCCGCGCCTGTTACAGAGTACAGACGATTGGTGTATGACGTCATAGTACTGATTCGAAAGCATACAGCATGCAGTGATTGACATGAAGCAGCTCAGTACAGAGTACAGACGATTGTATGACATCACAGTACTGATTCGAAAGCATACATCATACAGTGATTGACATGAAGCAGCTCAGTACAGAGTACAGACGATTGGTGTATGACATCACAGTACTGATTCGAAAGCATACAGCATACAGTGATTGACATGAAGCAGCTCAATACAGAGTACAGACGTTTGGTTTACGAGGCCTAAAAAAAAAAAAATTGGTTCCGGTTGGTTGTCAGTTGAGGTCATGGGTCGGTAGGTAATTTTTTTTTTTTTTTTTTTTTCAGTGGCAGCAAGGGATGGGTAGGAAATTATTCAGGGCTCGACATTAAAGGGATAGTCAAACCTAAAAATATCAAAATTGAAACTACTGTGGAAACAAAGACACCTACATCTTGGATGCCCTTGAGTTAAGCTAAAACATATCAAAAATTAATTTCAAAGTAAACTATCCCCTTAAGCCTTTTCACGTGCTTGTCCTCCGGACAAGTAAGTAAATCTGTCAATCACTTGTCCGAGTAAAAAAGTTGCTTGTCCGGATTTTTAAAATGTATTTATTTTTTTATTCTGAAGCAATATTCTCATCAGTGTTCAATCAGCTTTGATATTTAAAAAGGCAAATTGTAATATATGCACCTTTAAGGGCATCCCCATCCACCAATATTATTAAATGCCCTATAGTGTCTTATTATTCTAAATAATTGAATTTATTGATCAAATTTAGGAATTTAAAATGAAAGATGAAGCATACTGTTACCCTAGGTAGGGCTGATGAAATTAAATCATTTACACTGAAAAATTACAATTTCATAAAATAATGTTATGAAATTGATTTAAATGTGCAAATAAGAAATATTGAAAAGAATTATACTAGGCTACTTATAAACATAACACTAAACTGCCAATAGGTGGCGGCAGGCGGCCGTATAAATGAGTGAGTTATTGATTCATTAATTCAAACGATTCGTTCAAACGGTTGATTCATTCAAGAATGAGACAGTTGATGTTTATGAATGGGTCATTGAATCCTTGACTCAACCGATTCGTTCAAAATGCTGAATCATTCAGTAATGAAAACAGGATGAGTTCCTGTGAGATGCTTCGTGGTTCTGCTGTGACTTTTCTTTGGAACTATTTTCGCTGCTGAAATGGAACAAAAACACCCAATATTGCTTATAAACAGTAAGTGACTTAATCTTAACTGTTTATTGAACTGTTGTAGGAAATCAATGTCACTTTTTCAATCGTGATGGTATTCAGGAAAAATAATTGAGGCCGCTTAGTGCTTAACATATGTTAAAATATAAAAACTCCACATTTCGATTTTTTATAGGCAGAGTATGTTGTTAACTGTGTGTGTGTGTGCTCCGCTCATGTGTGTAGATTTCTCTGCGCGAGCGTCAACAGCGCAACCTTACCATCAGTAATACAGTAGGCCTGCTACATTTATTATCCACAATCGATCGCAACTTGCAATAAATGTAATAAAATCAGAATCATTCTCTCGGTTTAGTGATTCCCTAGCTATTTTTTTGTTTGTTATTGATGTTCAGGCTACTTGTCCGTTGAGGCGAGTAAAATTCTCTTTTACTTGTACTTCAAAAATCCATTTGTCCCGGAAAAGCGGTCAAGTTAGACGGGCTCTAGAGATACGAACCGCGGCAGGTTAGAGTGTTTTGGATTGCATAAAATAATGAAAGAAACGAACAAATACATGGCGAAAGAAGTGCTAGACAGCAGAAGATGTGATTGGGATCATGATTGGATCATGATAGGATGATTTTTTATAAAACTATAGGCGGATGGAGGTATTAGTATGTGGTGTGTGCATGCCTATGAATGCATGTATTTGTATGTGTGCAAATATGAATAAAAATATCCTAAATTACAAAAAAAGACTTGTATAATATGTATTATAGTTCAGTTTGACGAACGATATCTGCCTCGTTTGTTAATAGATTGCTGGAGGACAAGATGCATCTTACATCGCGTGCTATAAAAAGACGGAGCTGTACAAAAACGTAAATTAATAGTTCGCCTCAGAGTTTTTTATTTGTGTATTTATTTAATTTTTATTATTTCTTCCCCAAGCTCATAAAATAATTTGGGGTCGCACATAAATTGACAGGGTCGGTCGGAAACCGGAAACAAACACATTTTTTTTTTAGTTTATTTTTTATTTTTTATTTTTTTATTTTTTTAACTCCTGACATCAGTACTGATTTGAAAGAAGAAAAAAAAAGAAAAAAAATCAGTACTGATTTGAAAGCATTTTTTATATTTTATTTATTTTTTATTCTGAAACAATATTCTCATGAGTGATCAATCAGCTTTGATATTTAAATCACCATATTGTAATTTCTGCACCGTTAAAGGGCATCCATCCCCCAATATTATTAAATGTATGCTTCATCTTTCATTTTAAATTCCTAAACTCGATCAATAAATTCAATTAATTCGAATAATAAGACACTGGCTGTTAATATAGCATAAAACACCTGCAGACAGAAACAATCTCGTTTAAATATCAGATCACACGTCGAGGACACACGTTTTGCTGCAAAACCGGGAGTTTCTCATGTGCATTTTCCGTGACCACAAAGCGCACGTTAAGAACGCGAGCTTTTAGATTTTATTTATTTGCACATATAACATTTGAAATACAACTTTACAAGTCCATTAACGGAAAAAAAAAAAAAAACTGTGCGGGAGAAAGTGAGAAGACCATGAGGTCTTATCCCCAAAATCTCATTAAAATGGACATAAAATTACATGATCAAGCAAGACAATATAATCAATACATCAATCATGTTAATACAGCAAATTAACAAAATAAACTTAATTATATGTTAACATTTTTTCAGCTCTCTTTTAAAAGTGTTTATAGTGATTTTAGTCTTTAAAACAGGGTCCAAATGATTCCAGAGGGAATTCCCTCTGTATTTCAGTGTAGATTGATTAGCTGTAGTTCTACAAAAGGCAAGATACAAATCTTTACAACGCCTGGAATAGGCATGAACATCCGAAGAATACATGAAAAAATGATTGAAAGCTCTGGGCATAATATTTGTCATATTCACACATACAAATATTTATGCAATATATGTTAACATTAAATATGGTCAAGATGTTATATTTTATGGCAAATCGCGCGTCCCTTGGCTGTCGAAACGCACGCGTTTGACGAGTCAATCAGACGCCTGACCGCGCGACAACGTTGCTTCCATTATGAGAACGTACATTTGAAATGACAAACTTGAGTGCGCAAAAGAAGCGATCTGTGAACGGGCCCTATTCTTTGTCTTACCAAGTCATGGTGTTCATGCGAACAATGAGCCTCGTCTACTCTCCTTGCAAGGGTGTCGAAGTCTGGACAAAATATGTACAGTGACATGACATCACTGCCAGATTCAAACTGTGCGCTCGCTGGCGCTGAGCCAGAGATGGACGCGCTCAGCGCTTGTCATATCATATAAAGTGTTGGGCGGGCCGTATGGCCAAACTTAATTCATTATTATTATGAAAATTAAACATTTAAATTGTTTTTATTAATCTGTTTGGGTGGGACACCTGTCACTCTGGCCGCCCATAAATCCGCGCCTGTTACAGAGTACAGACGATTGGTGTATGACGTCACAGTACTGATTCGAAAGCATACAGCACACAGTGATTGACTTGAAACAGCTCTCTACAGAGTACAGACGATTGGTGTATGATGTCACAGTACTGATTCGAAAGCATACAGCATGCAGTGATTGACAAGAAGCAGCTCAGTACAGAGTACAGACGATTATGACATCACAGTACTGATTCGAAAGCATACATCATACAGTGATTGACATGAAGCAGCTCAGTACAGAGTACAGACGATTGGTGTATGACATCAGTACTGATTTGAAAGCATTTTTTTTTTATTTTTTTTTTACTCTGAAACAATATTCTCATGAGTGATCAATCAGCTTTGATATTTAAATCACCATATTGTAATTTCTGCACCGTTAAAGGGCATCCATCCCCCAATATAATTAAATGTATGCTTCATCTTTCATTTTAAA